CTTTTTAGTACAGCATTTTCTTATTTTTACCAACATGAGAAAATACGGTATTAAAAATTTCTAAAAAAATTCTCAGAACTTTATGAGAAGAAAATAATTTTTGTCTCTTGCAGTTTTTCTGTAAAGTTGATAGTATTTGAGTAAAAAATTATTCAAGGCTAATATTTTGCAATTTTTAGTAATTAATATTTTGTTAACTACTGCGAAAATTGCAAAATGGTAGAAGACTTTTCGACTCAGTTTAGTCCGCTCTATCTACACAAAAGTGATTGGCAAAAAAGGTCGAGACACCCTGTATATAGGTATATATAAAATTGTTAATTAAACGCGTCGTATTAATGTTAATTCCGATTATGTAGGTAATGTCATTACAGATGTTGTATAAACACTTTGTATCTTTGGCATCAACACAATACCGACAGATATACGGAAAGAAAAATTTTACCAAAAGTTTTTAAGTTAAAAATTTAATAGATACAGATCAGAAAATATTTTTGTCCGATCATCAAAATAATTATGAAACTTAATAGGAAACTTAACATGATGACCAATGTTGCAAAAAACTGTGATATTCTAGTAACTAGCTTGTGCGTTCTGCTAATTATTTTGTTAATTCAACCAAATTATTTTCTGGTGTGTATCTAACTAACTAAATTTTTAGATACTTTAACAAATCCGTTCTTTCCAGGTATGCACTTTTATTTTTTACATAGATAGCTAATATTAAACAGGGAACGTATGTACGACCACTTTATGTTTTATTAATAGCTAATTCTGTTCAAAATACTAACGTTATGTTAAAATCATGCAGAAACGCGTGAGGAACTCGTACATAACTCAATTTTATTTTCATCTTTTACCGTGCCAGTAAATTTTTTATAGCTTTTCCGACCATAGCTCATAGATATCAGGCATTGTGTCGTGAACGTCTAGTGGACGAAACGGTCCTGATGTAACGGTAATCGCACGGATATTATAAAAACGTCATATCGCCGCAAGCGGTTTTGCGGTTTCGCGAATTTCGACCGCCGCAACACACGTTCCCCGGTAATTCCCCGATGTCGTTAGGAATCTCTCCGCAGATTCATTACCTAAAGTCGTCGAGCTACTGAGGTACTGTATCCTTGACATCGCACCGCCGCGACACGCTTCATCGGCGGTGTCAGGGGTCCCAGATACGCCGGCTGGAGACATTAATCAGCCCGACCCGCGGCGAGTCGCGACCACGACACGAACCTCCCGCGGTCGTTACACGACGTTAAGTACTCTGCAATACGAATACCCGGCCGTGTACCGACTTCATTCGAAATCTAATCCCACGTCAGTCGATGAAATTTATTGCGCTCGCACGGCCAGCGGGATCGAACATAGCCGTTCAACGGTGATCCGCTGCAGGAACCGCGTATGAATTCATTCATTTTTATTGCATTTTTCGTACGAACAACTGACAACGGGGATGTAAATGGCAGCGAGCGGTTAGCGTAAAAGTATCTTTTATGATCCCGCTGTTATCTTGCGGTGGATTATCACCGCATTTATCGACTTAACATTTAATCTGTCGTTACAAGAATCCGTTGATCTAATCTGCATCTTGTAGTGTGTAGATTAAAATAATCCATTAAAGACGATATATTTGTTTTAGACAATACTATTAATTTTTATATAACTTGGAATAGCCACTTGCAGTAAGAAAAATATACTTAAAAATTTATTTGTGAGAAATGTATTTATTTCATTGAAATAAATCTTTATTTAAATACGGTGAAATAAAATTTTATCCTTAGCAAATATAAGCCATCTATTTTATTTTTTTACAATTAATGAGGTATATTTCACGGAAATATGTATTTTCGTCAAAATCAAATTTTTTTGTAACTAATAAATATCGAAAAAACATCGTAAATGACATTTGCTTTGCAATACTTTGATATTTTTTTCTCAGTATAAAGTATCTATTTCACGACAGCGCGGCGGCGGCGAAAAAATGTGAATATTATAAAATATTATTTTGTTTAACATATTTGTTTTTTTTAATAATTATTCTTTGCGAATCTTTAAATATGCAATTCTATAAATAACTCGTAATAAAAAAGCGTTATAAATTAAAATCTTAATTTTTTCAAAGTGCTGTCGTAATAAGCTACGTGCTTACATTGAGAAAAAGATACTTAAAAATTTATTTATAGGAAATATGTTTATTTCACTGAAATACATTTTTATATTTAAATACGACGAAAAAAAATTTTATTTCTAGCAAATAAGCCATCTATTTAATTTTTTTGCAATTAATAATGGGACGTATTTCGCAGAAATATATATTTTGTCATCAGGATCAAATTTTTTCATAACTAATAATTATCGAAGAAACGTCGTAAGTAAGATATGTTTCGCAATATTTTAGCATTTTTCTCTCAGTGTATTTCGTTTAATGTTTTTCTATTAACTTTTTTCAGATAATTATGAATTATAAATCCATATCCATAATGTTCTTAAATACTAATGAATCGAAATAATAATAAATCATTAATATATAATATATTGTTAATAATGGTGATTTTAATTGGGATGTGAAAACACTTCAAGTGATTCTTTAAATAAAAAGAATCAGAATAATTCTCGGTTTAAATAGATAGGTAGTAAGATATTCAAGTTTTTGTATGCAGGATATTTAGAACACCCAAAAAAATTAATTTAATAGTTATTTTTTTACTAGTATATTATTTACTAATATAGTTAAATTTTTTAGTAATCTTTCATGAGAGATAGAGGAATGTAAAAATAGTGAACTTTTTTATTTTTAGGTATCTGATCGATACTTTTTGTTTTTCCTCTCCTAAAATAAGATTTAAAAAAATTGTACCTAAGATACCTACCTATTAGCTTAAAAGTACAATCTAATCCGGCGAGTCCAACAATAAATCTGATAAATTACAAATTAACAAAAAACTAATAAGTTTTTACAGACTCCTTTAATTAAAACAATTAATAAAACCATAAAATATGTATTACAGGCAATAGGAGACTTTGTTAACAAAGTTAAGGTTTATATTTTTAGTATTAAGAAAAATTGCGCTAATAGATAACCAGCGTCGACTCCTACTGCCTGTAATACATATTTTATGGTTTTATTAATAAATCTGAGTTTATTGAACTGTTTGCTACACGTCAAAACATGGAAAAACAGCTTTTTATACACAGTTTTTTACGATTGTGTCATCCGTTCAAGACTCATCCTTTAATAACAACGAAAAACACTATCATTAAATTTATTTCACTGCAGAAATAAGAGGACAACCATTCTCACGTATCTTTCGAACGTTGTCAAATCGCGACAAAACTTCTGAAGAAGATGAACGATCGCGATTTCGCGAATAGCTCGAAATGACTACCGTGAATCCTACGGATTGTTGTCGCGCTGCAGCTCGTTTAGAATGCTGCGCGTCCTCTTTACACGCAAGAAGTTCTTCATAATAACAGTTAATTGGCCGGTTGGTCTGCGCTCGTAAGAGTTCGTGCCGGACAGTAGTCCAACGTGTCTGTCGGTCGAATCGTCCGTCCGTCCGTCCGTCCGTCCATGGCTAAAACTCGCGGGTATTCGAACGTCTCTCTCGTTTCTTACTCGTTTGTCGCCGTAGGCTGCGAATCGCGCGCGTACATCCCCCTTGCAACGTGCAGTTATTGCCGATCGCGACGCAGTACGCAGCTGCGTGCAACGCGGATGTAGATACGTGGAATCGTTAGATGCTTTTCTTTCGCGGTACTGTACGTATCTTAAGGGTACGATCCTCGTCCGTTTGCCGTAACAGTCGGAAATCCTCGCGCGATTCGCTTTTTATTATCGTAAACATTATCGCTCGTATTACCACTAGCGAGGATTGCTGGGGTCTGTTAGTCTTCGATTTGTAAAGGAAGCCACGATTTCATTAACCGTTAACTGAATTAACAAGTAAATGAAACTTGATGAAATCGGAATGAATTAAAAATCTAATAATCTCTTAAGATATTTTCCTTCCTTGAACGATAAATGTAAGTTAGGAATTTTGAGCCTTGAGCTGCAAATTATGTAGCGTTTTTTTTTATATGCTATCGTGCATCTAAATAACGGCTCGTAAAGCAACTTTTTTTTTTCATCGCTTTATGTAGTTAATGTTCTTATGTCTGTTTCTACCAATGCAGTTTAACTTTAATCTCGGTTCAACTAATTCTTCATCTTTTTCTAGTTTTAAAAATAAGAAAAAGGTGAAGAATAAGTTGAACCGAGATTAAAGTTAATCCACATTGGTAGAAACGGGCATTAGTCGTGAGAAACGTTAGTTTTAACTTGAATGCGTTAATTGCGGCAAAAATTGCGACGGTTGTGATTCCAGTGAAATTTCTTTTGCATCACTGTTCATCGAATATATATATATTTAATATAGCTTGTTTATATGCATTGCCTTTAATAATCGCGCAGTGACGCAGCTCGAATAACATTACCGCAGCTAACTAGATATTAAGTATTTCGTAACTTCTGTAATACAAAATGTGAACTTTTGATTAAAATCTGATTTAAATTTATTAATCTTGCACTCACATCGAACGGCTTATTTAATTAACGTCATCGTTGATTATCGCTTATCATCCACTCATCAAGCTCTCCCTTTTTTGCCGCGAGTTTGTTTCGTAAGTAAAATATTTTGGCGTCGCGCCAATGTGCATGCTTATTTTCGATACATTTTTCTTACACTCTTTCAATCTCGTTTTTGTAGTCGGTATGAGTCATTTGAATCAAGAAAAGATTTGCGTGCACGAATTACAGGGACTCGCCTTGTGTCTTTTTTTTTCCTTTCTTTTACCTACCGCCCAATAATGAATCGGTTAACGAAAAAGTTAATGAAGATACAAAATGACCAGTCGCTCGGAATTCTATTAAAGAGCCTTTACTTCTTATCTCCATAATGAACGGTGCGATCATCGACGAAGGTTCCCTTCGTTTGACCATCAGGTACGAGAAATCTGAAGAGTCATCACCGCGCACAGCGAATCTCTTCGTTCAGTCCTGTCCACAGGTAGATAGGTAGGATCCCCTTCGTATATACGAAGAGACGGATGAACGATTAACGTATCGTTCGTTTCTACATCTCAGAATGTCGAAGTCTCGTAAGGACATCAACGTGTACACATTTACAATAACGAAAACCGGACGCGACCGTCCACGTTCCGATGAAGAAGCGCACGGATGTTCTCTTTCTCGATCCGGAAGCGCGATAATATTTACACGGCTACTTGAACACCCGGTATGCACCGCGATGCTTGTCGTAAACGGATTTAACCGCGTATTAAAAGGCGCCAGACGCAGGTGCGAAACGAGTCCTTATTTTCGTCTTTTCATGAGATTTATGCACGCGTGTTTGCACGCAACGCTTAAACAGAGTAAAATGCAAATGACTCTTTTTTTTATTAGTCTTTGTTACAATGTTCGCCGCTGTTATTTTAAATAAAATCACCTCGTGATTTTTCTCACTTAAAATCTTTCCTCGCTCAAACGTTTAATCTTATTGCAAAACATTTTCGAATTTTTTAGTTATGCTACTTATATTCATATAATAATGATAATTATATGTTGATCCGTATGTTATGATGTTATTACAGTGAAGGAGAAAAAAAAATAAAAAAGTTTCGTTTCCTTGATCAATTTTGAAGTTATCGTGTTGTTGATCGGTGCCTTTATATTCTTTTTATTGTCAAATAAAACGAGAAGTTAAGAAGCTCTTTGGTCTTGAAACATTCAATCCATTTTATAGAGGTCACGAATCGCGCGCAGTAGGCAAAATGGGTCCATAATAAGCTCGAGGGGATTTATCCATAAACCGTCGAGCTATTAATGTTCCTGGAGAATGGCTTACGCTCCATACTCATGTTTCTCATTGCAGAACGTCGTATCGCGAGTAACGGGGCTGATCAATGCATTTCACTTTCGAGCAACGAGGCTCTTTGAAGCTACAAAAACCCGAAGCTACCCGCGGCGATTTGAATTAAATTTTCATGAAAGCACACACATTTCTTTACCCTCGAAGATTGCCTTATTATTACATCGGAAATGAGTTTAGTGAATATCACAATTGAAAGTAAAATTTCTTGAAACAATTGTTCAATAGATTTCTGTGTGAAAAATTTCCACCATTAAAATAAATGAAGTGGATAATAAAATACAAATATTTTAGCATATTCGATTTAGCAGTACTTCTTTTAAAAAGAATTTCTTCTTTTTTAAAAGAAAAATGTTTTAAACTCTAAACTATCGTAGTTCTAAAGATGGTTCTTTCCCAGGTAGCATATATACTGACGTTATTTGCTATAAATGACACCATAAAGACGTCATTTTGACATCAAAACATAAATAACGTCAGCTTGCTATCTTTGAGCTATATTATTTTCAAGGTTTATTATTTCCAAGGATTTCGCCTCTTTTACCATCAAAATTGAAAATTCATAAATGCTTTGTCATTTAATGTTAAATGATTTAACATTAATTACAGACTTGACAGATTATATTTTTGTGTATGCACAGACTTGTAACTTATTTAAAAATCTTGGCATCTCAGAAATGTTCCAGAAATTCTGTTCATGACCAGTAATAATGCTTCGGTCCATCCTCATTATTTTGCGCTACGGGTGGTTGTTCGGATAAATGGAGAAAGGTGATATGAGTGAATGAACAATAAAAAGAAGAAAAAAGAAAAAGGAAACAGGTAGATAATCTACACAAACGATAATCCATGTGGTGGATTATATTATGTAAATGTTTCAGCTTAGAAATATTATTGCATTCCTTGAGTTTGTGTAATATAAAATAAACAATCATATTATATGTATTCTTCGAATCCTTTTAAAAGCCCATTGGAATAGCGATAGAGAGTTTACAATATAATTAATAAACTAAGTATTAGGAGATAGAAAGTTTAATTATTCGCCATCATTTGCGTCACGAAAATAAAATGTTAACTCTAAAAGTTATAAATATGATTTTGGTATACCATTTAATATAAAATGAATCTGATTTTAATTAGCCTATTAAGCTATAGCTGTATTAAGCTTATTCTGCTGTTTTAAGGAAATGTAGTTTTCACAATCAGATAATTCAATTTAATGGTAGCCGTGCAAAAATATGCGGCATTAGATTTTATTATTCGAAAATATGAGAGTTAGTTAGTAACTAACCGGTGAGAGAGTGCAGGGTGCATTATCGGCCTCGTCGGTACACGTCGACATTCTCCGGCGCCGTCTTCCGTTTCTTTTTTCTCTTCTCGTACTATAATCTTCTAAAATCCTCGTGCTTAAAATGCTTAAAATGCTTGTTCTGGTCGGCTAAATTGTCGTTGTCTTAGGAATTGCAGTTTTCTTTTGACGACAAAACCTTCGGCCTGATCTAGTCTTCGACTAGATGTCTACGTCTACGTAAATTAGGCATCGAGTATTATATCACAGGTTGCTGAGGGTTGTATGGCACGTTGTTTGAAGAAAAGCGGGCGATAAAAATCTGTAAGAAACCAAAGGAAAAGAAAGATGTTTATAAGATAAGATTATCACGTCTATCAACATTGTTATCTTCAGCACTAAAATAATTTATAGCTATTGATGACACCTTACAAATACATTTTATCTATTCACCGTATCATGAATAATCTAATCTAACGCGTGTTTAACGACTATGAAAAACAAGATGAACCGGCAACCAGCGACTATCGGGGAAATGCAAACAGGTAACCCCATGTTTTCTCCGCATAACAAGTGGATGCCGGAACTGGAGAATCCACGTCTCGGTTTCGCCACGTGGCCCGCGGGAGGAGGAGAAGCTTGACGCGCACGCGGGATGCGTACTCCCGCGATCGGGAAACCGGAACCTGAGCGCGCGAGTGAGCGAGCAGGTTCGGCGTTATTCACTTATCGCCGGACAAGGATCCGCGCGGATGTCGGTCAACCAGTCTGACACCGCGAATTCTACATCCTCGCGCGCGGTCTTGTCCAGGTGGATGGTTAGCAAAACCAGTCGGTTTGCTCTTCTCTCCGACTCGTTCATCTGCTCCTACTACCACGGCGGAGTAGGCGCGTGTGAGCGCGCGCGTGGAGGAGGGCGCGCGCGTAAAACTGGAATTCAGCTCGCGGGCACCGCTCTGACGGATAGACAGGTATAATAATAGACGTAACGAGGAAGCCGGACCATCGAGAGTGAACACACGGGACGGTGCCGGTTCTCACTATCTTTCTCTTGCCTCTTTTCTGTCTCTTTCTCTTTCTTAGACTGCGCGTCGTCAATAATGGAGACGCGCGGTGATGTTCGCGAGGAAGGAACAAGACTGGTTGTTAGAAAGAGAAGGAGAGAGAGAGAGACCAAGAGGAACAGAGATAAGTCGAAGAGGGTGGCGGCGGAAAGTAGGTAGGTAGGTAGGTATCTACCTACTACGCGGAAGAAGGAGATTGGGGCGACCAGGGAGAAGGAGTAGGTACGTACTGGGCCGGTATACAACCGCGAACCGGAGACGAGAAGCCAGAGAAGCAGGTTCAGAGGAGCCGGTCTAACCTGATTCTCAAAGGGAACCCTGCATCAGATTGGACCCACCACCGTGGGTCCGTTTGTATTTCAAGTACCTGTACGCCCTCGCTTCGCGTCAGTGGACGATGCCTCTGGAGAACGGAGGACTCCGTCGAGTCGTACAAAGAGGAGGAAGCGTCTTCTTCCGTCAACGCGTCGCGCGAAGGCGATGTGTCTATCAGATCGTGCGTTACACCTGCCGTCGATAGATTCTAGACCTATATACCATCGCGCCGGTGTGCATCGCGGTGTTGCAATCGTGCCGACCGCGATTTGGTCGGTTAGAATCCATGGCGTGCAGCTGTAACGGCGGAATTGCCGTTAAGTGTATCGAGAGTGAATTTCTTGAGATCTAGTGAGAGTTCCAGGTGATTCCCTTTGAGCACGGTACGGATGACGTCAGGATATGTTTATAATTTCCTAACGCTCTTATGGTGTTCATTTAGATGTTAACCGTGACAAAGAGGCGCGATTTTTTTTCTCCGGCTCGCATCTATCACATAAAGTTGATTTTTGCATAGCAATATTACGTGTCACAAATGTATTTTCTCCGGCTTTATTAATCGTATCTATTTTTTTTTAAGTGTGAGTGATTGCTTGCTCTCGGATCCGTGGTTTTTTTACGCGGCATAAACGGTCGACTCGTGTTGGGATTAAGAATAGCGGCATTGAAGTTCTTATACCTATTTCATTGAGTTGCCATAGTCTGATAACTTACACTATTATGATAATACTCTTGTATTTGTTGACTATCTTTCTGTATCTCGATTTAAAATACAATTAAATTATTGATCTAAGTTCCTTGTAATGATGCTGTAATAATACTTCTCGTTCACGCTTTTTTTATTAATCAAGGATTATAATTCTCTGGATTTTTTTCCGTTAAGTTTCCTGAGTAGAACTTAACGTAACACTAAAGAATATTTCTTTGTCTGTGGTACACCGTAACTGCAGCTTTTTTCATGCTTGAGCGAGAATGATGGTCTATTATTCGTCTATTATTTGCTCGTTTTGTACCTTTGTCATCGACTTTGACCTCCGCATTCAGTAGAGCAATGAAATATGGATTTTAAATAACTGAAAAGTTTTTAGATTTTTTTCCAAAATTCAAGATTTCAATTCATACCTAAAATTCTCGTAATGTTTTTGTTCTTAGTAAGTTTCAGTAAACCGATTAGAATATCTTTGAGAAAAAAAAATGTGACAACAATTCTTTAAATATCTTTGGATTGTGTATGTGTCACAGTCAAAGTGTTAATTCAATAAGTATATATATTTACTATAGTTTGTACTGTAGTGAATGTATACATTTACTAAACTTAACACTTTGACTGTGACGTACATACCACGTGCATATCAAAGTAAAGAATAATTAAATGAAAAGAGTATAACTGTAGTTTTAATTATATTTTTTAGCGATGAATACGTCTACATATATTTTTTCGTTAATTCTAACTATTAGTTTAAACTATTAATTTACACTTAAATTTGGGTACATGAAATAAAACGGAATTGTATTATTTAAAAATCATTTGTCTCTGTAAATGTTTCTACTTATACAAAATAGCTACATGTAATTCCATAAGTATAACCACATATATATTTTTACATTTTATCTCAAATAATATCTCAAGTAAAGAGAGTTTATCTGTCTACAAATTGTTACTATCTGATAACCATGTATCACATATCGTAAAAGGTAACAATACGTTAAAATGTTGATAAGCGACGCAAAGAAGTTAAAAAGAAAATACGAAGCATTTTGCCGGCAGAATATCGTGCGGTAACCTCATGGTCTACGATTCTTCGCGTCCACTTGTTCACCGGTAGGTCACCTGCACGTCACCTGTGCGTCATCGCGCAGGTAGCCTCCAGCTATTGACAAAGATGCGCGCGCTATAGTAAGGCCTAGACTATCGTAATAAAACTGATGACGATGTGAAGATAATACTCACTCATTAGGATCGTATTAAAAAGGAGGGAGGAGTGTCGTTGAGCGGTAGAGTAGCCGGCGTATTCGAGAGAAGCTGCTGATCCGGTGGTTGCTTTACCGGTGAAGTGGATTATCACACGTGCATGTGTATGAGGGGAGAGGGGAAGGTAGAGTAGGTGGTAGAAGTCACGAGGGGGCTAGTGGGGTAATGGGGTGATAGAGGGGGGAGATGGGGACCAACTACAAACTACTAAGTGTCCCTCCTATGTTCTGGATCACATCTCAATGGATGATAGTGTCACCACCTTCTCCATAGACCGAGGCGTCTGTCGTCTTGACGAATTCGCTAACGTTGGGACTACTCTTCTCTCCAGGGCACCCTTCTTCGGGGGCCCGCAGTTGTCCGTTTGGTTGACTCTCGTTCTTGACCGGTGAAGCTGTTGGTTCTGCGAAATATTTCGGTAAGAAACTCTCCTTTGATCGCGTCGCCTGTTCACCTGATGTCACAATCGCGATTCACTACGCGCACATTATTACGTTAACATTTCTCCGAGTCTCAAGTGTCACATTCGGTCGTTCCGTTCTCGTTTCGATATTTTTAGCGTACCGTTAAAAATCGATGATCCGCAAATTTGTGCGTTAGTATCCTATGAGACTTGTCCGTATCCTGTTTGTACTTTCAATCGCATAATCGCGCACCGGCTTGACACAACACTCGCACGTTCACGCGCGCGACAACGACGACCGTCGCATACAATCACTGAGAAACTTGAAAACTTGGAAACCGAACTGAACTATACGAAAGATTTTGGAATTTAAACGTTTTTAATAAAAAAGACTAGGACTCACTAACTTTGCCTGAAGCAACAAACAGTATTTTAACTGTTAAAACCTTGGGTTGGACCACTAAACCCAGCAGCTTCACGGTGCTCTCTCGGATCGTTCTTTCGCCTCTCGAGATCAGCAATATGGCCGTCGCTGCTGCCGCCTCCCAGCATCACGCTGGTTAGCTCCGTGCTTCGAATTCCCCCCCTCCCTTCCATTCGCGTCTCACACACGATCGCGCGTCTCTCTACGTCGCCTGCCCCCTCCCCTCTGTCTCTTTCTCTCTCCCACTCGTCCCCATTCGCATGTTTTCCGTCCACGGTCTCTCCATCCTCCCTCGCTCCTGAGCCTCGTCCTCACTCTCGCTCTTACGTTTACCTGCGCATAACGCCTTCCCTTAGAGACTATCTCCCTTCGGCATTTGCGTTTTTTTCTTTCTCTTTCTCTTTCTTCCGTTTCTTCGCCCTCCCACTTCTGATGGAGAAAGACAGAAAAGATGAAGAGAATGGTAGAAGACCCTCAAGCTCTTCTGACGAGCCATCGTTCCTCTCTTTCTTCCTCTCCAAGTGTTCTCCCAAGGAGGACGGTGAGAGTGGTCGGCTGTGAGACGATCGGCAAAGTGCAAGTGGAAGAGACACTGTTGAGAGAGAGAGAGAGAGAGAGAGAGAGAGAGAGAAGGGGGAAGGAGAGAGAAAGACAGATTAATATTATAGGTACAGGTAGGAGGCTAGTGGGAGGGAAGGAGAGAGAAAGACAGATTAATATTATAGGTACAGGTAGGAGGCTAGTGGGGTTAGTGTACAGGTAGCTAGCACGACAAGGACAGTCTCGTAGCTCTTGCAAACGAGTGCGACCAGGATGGAGCTATCTCTCCGCGACGTGTTACACAGATACAAACAGAACATCGAATCATCAACAAGGCGGGATCCTGGCCACCCGGCATTATCGTGTTTCTGTAATCGTCTCTCTCTCTAACGTATTGCTTCTTCATCTCCTCTTTGTTCAGCTACCTCCCGAGAGGGATACCTGACCGAGAATTGCAGTGGGAGGAACGAAGATGATCGAGGTGTACGCACACGTGCATCATCACGTCTCTCCGTCCAGCTTCACCGTCTTTCTGCCTTGTCTCTCTTTCTCTCTTTCTTCTCCTCTCCTCCCCTACTTCCTCTTTTTCTTTCCCTCTCTCTCTTTCTTTTTCGTTCTCTCGCTGGTTTCAGCTTCAAGCCGCCTTGCTAACTTGAGAAGGATACATGCGGTCGATGGTCCAAGCGGGACAAAGACGGCCGCGCAGACGTACGTTATCGCGGCGTCTTGGTGTCCTTCTTACTTCGGACTTCATTCTTGTAGTTTCCGTCCCGCTTCGGCTTTACTACCTTGAGAAGGGTAGCCGCAGAGAGGGCCGCGATATAGAAACGAGAAGGAGGACACGCACACGTAAGATTATCGTATCTGAGCCCTGGCCGCCGCTTCCACCTTCTCTCTCTCCCCTTGTCCTTCCCGCTTCGATTTTATAACGCTCGCTCTTTATCTTGCCACCTTGAGAAGGATATCCACATACCACAAATCGTATAATCGAAAGGGATGTCTAACAGAAGGACGTGAAATCATTTCACCGAACGTACGCGCTAAACAGGCGTCGGCCGAATGATAGTATATGTCTCATGGGGAACGGAAAGATATCTTAGATACATCTCTCTGTTATAAGTTTTTGTTTTGCAATAGTATCTTTTTTTATTCGGCCTATCTCTACGCAGGCTATGAAGAAAGCCTCTTCTGCCTGAAACTGTCTGCCTTGGATGATCGAGGCATCTTTCCGAGTCATCGTAAGGCAGACGCGCGTACGCACACACATCAAATCCTCTCCTCTCATCTCTCTCGTCGAACGGACGTGGCGAACGCGATGAACGGAAGAGAGAGAAAGAGAATGAGAGAAAAAGAGCTTCTTCTTTATGAAGAGAGAAGAGAGCTCTATCGTCTCGTCTCTTCTTCCTTTCTTTCTACCACCATTGCGAGAAAGATGTCTGCGAGAGATTCGCTGAGACGAAGTACGTTCATATATGTACGTCCGATTGATTCTCTCTTATACGGGTAAGAGACGTCTACGCTGGACGCCGGATGCCGAAGAGAGCGAAGTTGCTGCCGCTGCTGCCGTAGTTGCGCGAACGGAGATGGACTCGGGATTGAAAGAGACATGAAGGAGGGGAGGACATCGAAGATGGAGAGAGGATGGAAGAAGAGGGGCGTATGCGTGAGTCCATGATGAGATGAAGAGAAGGAGAGATGAAGAGAGAGAGAGAGAGAGAGAGAGAGAGAGAGAGAGAAAGAGGAGGAAAAGAGAAACTGCATGAGCGACGAAGAGAACGGGCGTTGGCTACGCTACACGAAGGGAGATTAAAAAGAGAAAAAGGACATGGAATTAAAAGAGGAAAAAAAGAGGGAAGTCGGGGAGCCTAAGGGAGGGAGAGAAAGAGGGTGGAGAGAGGAATACGAGGTGGGAGAGAGAGACCTCGTGAAAAATGGGCACCCAGCAAGAGAGGACAGCCTCGGGCTACGTCGCACGATGCGACCCTGCTCAGGGAGGGATTCGTTCCTCGTTCGTGGACTCCGAACGCACGTATGTGGATCCGACCAATCGACGTTTAATCGCTCGTAGCCTAGCCCAAGCGTTTTCCTGGGATGAGAATTTCGAAAGGTACGAACCGAACGGCCTGGACCAATTTGAATTCTTTGAATTGCGCTTGGACCTTCTTCTCGGAGATAGCTCTCTCGAACGCAACGCTTTCCGTGGATAAAGATAATTCAAACCCGCGCGCCTCTTTCCGTGGGAATCGTCACGATCTCTGCACGCTTATGTATAGCGTGGGTGGCTATGCACACACTTGCGTAGGTGGGTCGAATGGTAGAAGAGGAGAAGGGAGAAACAACGATTTTTGAGAGGGGTGAAATCCCTCGTGTGCGCCTGGTTCGAAATACTTTTCTTCCGGCCGATTTCTTAGCTCCACTTTCATGGTCCATGGCGTATTGTGTGTAGCGAATTAAGTGCAAGCATATCCTGTATCGGCGAACGCGCCAGCAGAACTAACTGCCAAGCGAATCATCTTTCAGCATCGCGTTAGACGAAGGATTGGTCCCGGACGAGTGCGTTTACTTACGCGTGGCTTTCTACTATTGACGCCGTGAAAGCAGATCGAAGTCCGATTCTCGCCGAGAAAATCCCTCCTCTGTTCTTCGTATCTATCGACGCGCGCGCGTAGTCGTAAAGTCGCCTTCCGCGCCCACCTTTCCGCCGTATATCTCTCACGCCGACGGGATAAAACGCGCTCACCAGCCACATATTTATGCAGATCACAAAGCGTGTCGGAAAACGTGCGAGGAAGTGTCCATAATTCAATCTGAATCAAAGACAAAGTTTACTTTTCGAGTGACAACGCGCAGAATAGTTCGATACTTCACATTCTTGTAATGCTAGGTTATCGCCACTCTTTGACCTATTACGTAAAATATTGCGCAAAGTTTTTGCTTTCGCAAGACGAAAACGCTTCGTTCAAAGAATATCCAAATTCATTAAATATATTATTTTGTCAACACAATCTAGTAAATTTAAAGGAAGGTATTTTCATAATTTACATATATTTTTCACAAGAGTAAAATTGCCGCTGGTATTCGAGAAGGGGTTAAAGTTGCGCGCGGTTGTGAATACATCATATGCTCGTTTCAGCAGAAGCATCCACTGGCGATTCTGTCGTAGGTCGCGTCACCCGTAATTACGCGCATCCCTCTGAATACCTGCCGACATGTTATTATCGGCGAAATGCGCGTTCTCCTTGGCAAAATGCTCATTTGTCACGTGTACTGGAATGGAAGGGGTGAAGGGCGCGAAAATCATGCTCGGTTCATTATAATCTTATCGTATCTGCGCATTCCCGCCTCTTCGGCGCGAGCGAAACAAAAACCTCCGATTCTTACTCGGATCTGTGGTCGCTTCGTCCTTGTATTTTTTTGATGACAGACTTCTTGATTATCGTAAATGGTTCTCATAAATTAGAATAGTTTGACGAATAAGAATAGAACATCTCCAAGATAAGATTACGATTAATTTACAAAGAATGGACCTATTGTGCGCAGATTAAATAAATTTTAAAGATGTCTTGCTTTTGATTTCAGGCTTAAAGCTTGTCCCTACAAAATGGATTGTACTGGTCGACTTCGGGGGAACGAGCCTTTATGTCGCTCTTAACGACAATGTTTTATATTAATAAATGTGGTCGATTCCAACAGATTTATTTTGCATACTTAACAAAGTAAAAGTGTATTCTAGTTTTTTTTTTGTATAATTGTTATTGGATAAAATATAAGATTTTAGATTTGTTTACAGCATTATATATATATACATATACATATATACATACACATTTAGAATAGTTCTACTTAATTTAATTTACATGTTATCCTTCGTTTTTCGCAATATTAAGTAGTAGAATAAAATGGCTACATAAATTAATATGAAATTAAATATATAAAACCTGTAATATGTTAACAAAATTTTAAAGAATAGAAGTATATGTCAATCAACAAATTTAGCGATATGATGAGAGTATCGGATTATGGCTGAGAATGTACTGACACATTGTATTTGCGAAATTTCCGATTTGCATCGTTTACTTCGAACGAACTTCTAAATTTTATTCATGAAGAATAATTTAACTACTATTGTTCACATTATTAACATTATCGTTACGTGTAAATGCAACATCGTTAAATAAATTAAAAGCACAATCCAGATCAATCTATGGCACTTTGTCTCAGTATCCATCTTATCCTGCTGGTGTTGAGTGCAATTCATCGACACGTAGTATTGAACGGAACATAGTAACGAAACCATCTTGGTACACCTAGAAAGAGACAGAATAATATATGAATAGAATACACTACTGTTTTCCCTCTCCTGAAACAAAATTTGACCAATAGAAGATAATAAAGAAAGAGAGTTTCGTGCCCATATATTTATCTTCCT